CAACTGCAGAGGACTATGTAAAATAAATTATATAGAAATATATAAGAAATAAAGTAATAAATTATAAGGATATTTCTAGATAAATGTCTGAGAGAAGACAGTTGGATGCATGGAGGGGTGGACAGACAGATAGATAGATAGATAGATAGATAGATAGATAGATAGAATGTGCACGTGGAAATGCTTTGCTTGGGACTGATATATAATTAGATACACATACATACTACCATTAACAGTTTGTAATGGAAGTGAAGTAAACTTAGCTCCATTTACACCCGGCACCACATGTGTTTTCATGACTGGGCAGTTCAGTGTGTTACAAGAGAAAACGATACTTGAGTTATAAATTATGACAACATAACTTCTTCCATTGACTGGCCAGTTATGTAACGCCTAGATTCCCCAAGTCTCTCTTACTCCTATAAATTTCAGCTATTCTTCCTATCAGGGAAACCCAGACCTCAAATAATAAAGATGCTTTCATTTTCTCTTTAGCTAGAGCAAATACTAACAGCAAATCACACACCATAATAGTAAGTGTAAATCTATTTTTCTTTTTTAAACATTAATTTTGACATGGTGCTTCAGCAGCTTTTAAGATTTCCTTTATCACATTTAAAATTAAATACAAATAAATGTAGATGCACTTACATTTTATAGAGCACTATAACCCTACACCAGTCCAAGATACCTTTTTAAAGAGCCACTGTGTATTCAAAAATCATCCAGGGCCACTACTAGGGCATGTGTGGACTGAATGTGCTGAGATTGGCTTCCAAGTGTACAAACTGAACGTGAGTACATTTGCAGGTGGTGAGAACTTGGCACAGTAAGGTTGCATGTGGCCAATAACTTATTACAACAGCTTATGTTTTTCTTGCATGCAATATTTTGAAGAGGAGATCTCCAGCCATGATCTGAATGTTCTATTAAAAATGGGTTTTCTAGGTATATGCGCTAAGTTCTGAAAGCCTACAACATGCATTCTTGGCCATTTGCTCTCCATTCTTCCCCTCAATCCCAAAAATGTTCGGCTTGGTGATCTGCCTTCGAGAATAAATCATAGAAGCGTATTAGGAAGTGCATAAAACTATATTGTGAAATGATGACATACAGGATCACAATAAATACAACGGTCATCCTGACAGTTCCAGTTACAGAAATGTAATTCACGTTCTTTAACCTAGGCTGGCTGTTTATCTTCTAACCATAGGCAGGCATAGGGAATCATGGATGTAGCTGGAGCCCCAAAGGTTGTAAATATCAGATCTACATGGCTAGACAATAATATCTAACCATAAAACCGTACAGGATACAACTGTGGGTTTGCAGAAGACACATGAAAAGTAAAGCAGAGGTATCCAAAGGCTGCATTTGCAAACATCTTCCCTGTCTGCACTTTTCAAGCCCTAAACGAAGGATATACATTTCAAGGTGAAATATCGAACCTTCCTTTGATATCCATATATTTAATGCAGTCCCATATATACAACGTGGACTAATGGGATGAGGGCACTTAGAGCTGCAACTTTGTTTAAAGTAAAACACTTCAGTTTTAAAGTTCCTCTTGAGAGCACAGTCACTTTTCACCCTCTGCTGAAGTCCATATTTCAAAATAGTCATCTTTAATAACTTTAGCTTGACATCTTTAGCGATCTTTTATCAGCCAAACTGCATACATGTGCTTTGAGTTTTATGGACGAGCAATATAACTGCAGCTGTCTACTTATTCATACCAGCCACTAAATTTAAGGTCAACACATCTGTATGGGTTGTTATTTTTATTATTATTATTTTTTTATGTGACTGCACACCAGGAAGGGCTGTGTTCCTGAAAGCAAATTTGGATTACAGATACATCTAAAAACGGCATACATTGTTTGTAAGGAATTCTAATTTTGCCCGGCTAGCATTTCGCTCTGACTTCTGGAGGGATCTGGTAATATAGCTGTTTAGTCCATGTAGAATAACATAGAAGATACACGTTGTGAGACCTGCATAGGTCAGGGAGGTTTAGAGGTCAGGCTGCAAGCCTAAAATAAAGTTAATGGGATAGAAAATGTGTCCTTTGCATGAACTCTGTTTGCTGCAGTTTACCCCGAACTTCAATAAAATACCTTTTCACACTCTCAACATGAAGGCATCAGGAGGCTGAAAAAGAAGCCTCAGTGGAGACTGTTTGGGATGGAAGGCAGCCTTTTTTGAACATTCTTCTCCCTATCTCCCTATCCCCCCACCCTTTTTAATGCATTCATAACACAATTGCAAGTGAGGATCCTGCAAGTGTCATTGCCATGACTGTGAAGATGGAGAGCCTGATATACAAATAAAATCCCAGAATGAAGAGTAAAAATTTGAATCCTCACTGTATTTTTTCCCCTTCCCAGTGAAATCAGTATTAAAAGGAATGGTAAGCTTTTTTTTCTACCTAGCCCTGATCCTATTTTTTTTCCTAATTCAATATATGCAGCCTATAGTGGGGGCTTGATTAATGTACCCGCTGCTTTCTGGGCAGAGCCGTGGAGCACAAAAGTTCCCATCTTATTCAAGCCGCTCTGTGCCTGCGACATTCAATTTTAATTCATCAAATTTTGAAGCAGTTTACAAAAGACAGTGAGAGACACACAGAGACAGAGGGGGGACCCAGAAAGGGTGAACTTACATTCTGATTTTCACTTGCAAAAGAAGAAGACTCACAGAGCAATTGGAGCAAACATATAGTTAACTGAGGGCTGCTGCAAACTTAGAACATTATTTCATTTTATCCATAAATCCCTAGTCAATAAACAGCAGTAAAATTCACCCCCGGTGGATCAGCCTGCCTAAACTTTTCCCAAATTCTGTTTCTAAACCAATAACAAGCTACACAACTCTGTCACTCTGTTTATTACTAGATGTACTGCCTGTGTCCTTTCTACAAAAAAAAACAAACACTGTTAATGTAGCCATGCACTTTAAACTATCCCAGCCTGCAAATAAGAAAATGCATTTAGAATTATGCTATTTTAAAACTCCTTTTATAGTCTGACCAAGTAGATCTATGTTGCTCTACTGACAATAAACACATTAAAACAAAAAGGAGGTACGAGATAAAACTGGCTGTATCTTTTCTCTTCCACAGAGATAAGTGTGCTTACTAGCAGCCTAGAATTGAAGCCTGCAGTGTCTCTTGTTGCCTGTAATGTGCAGGCCTACCTGAAATTTTACATTCTTCTGCAGCAGAAGATAGGACAGGCAAGTAAAAATAGCTGAAAACCAAAACCTTAAGGGCCTTGCACTGTGGCAAGAGGATCACAGTGGGGTCATTGCTATTTACATTGAAGGGATGTCTTACATAGCCCTGACAGGGCTATAAACATTCAATTCAATAGCCCAAATGCCCTCTCTTCAAAGGCAGCATAGCAAAGCTAGGCTTAAATAAAATATATACCTTACAGAAATTTACTACGAATCCCTGAATGTAAACGCACCAGGGTTTTAAGCCCTGATATATCTGAATTAAAAAATATAACTGTTGCCAAAATAGCCCCTGGTTAATAAGAACAGCAGAGCATGGTGGCACTAGATATTGTCATAAAGCCAGACCACTATTTATTGAGTACACCGTTCAGGTGCACAGTGTGAGCTAAAAAAAATAATGACACGTGTATATTGCTATTGCAGCAATACAAATAAATAAATATATATATAGATATAGATATAGGAGCAAAATGTGATTTTTACAACAGTGGGATCAAATGGTGATAACAGGTTCAAAAAATACACTGCCAGGTTAAACTAAAACACTCACTGTTTTATTGAACAAATATACGGTCACATTACACTAGGACTGTTCATAGCATTTTTTACAATGTAGTCTTTACCAAAATAAAAAATGATGAAATACAGTAACAACAGCAAAAGGGGTCTATCTACCGACTGAGAAACTCTAGTCTTTAATATTGTCACAGAATGGATTTGCCTTAAAATTGACAGATTCTGACTTGATGTGCTGCTACTTATAAGCTGATCACATAATAACAGGATCATTATTATTATTATTATTTTCGTATATAAAAAAAAAAAAGATTTCTTCACCTCCGTGGGATTTGTTCTAGCATCGTTAACACTCATTATTTTAAATATTTAAAGGACAAAATTGCAACCCTGTGTTTTTCTTTAAGTTTAGGAAAATCACCTAAAACTGAACATCCTACCTGCCTCAGAAAATAAATTAAGACAAAACTGCCATAAAACAAACAAACAAACAAACATAAAACAACACTTAACAAAAACCTGATCCCATGCACTGTGACATGCATTTAAAGCCTGTTTGATGATTCAAAAGACTTCAGTTTTCCAACGCACAAGGGAAAAAACACGACAAGAACCAAAAAATATATATATTATAATTATTATTAGATTCTATAAATACTCAGTCTTTTGTGTGTAGTTTTTTTTCTGTTTTGTTTATTTGTAGTGTATTTATAACCTTGTAATATCCTCCCGCTGGTCCTGAGCTGAGCTTTGCGTTAGATCCTCGTTGGGAGCAGAATTAGAAGCAATGATGTTGCTGGACGCATTAGAGGAGGCAGAGGATCTGACTTTAGTGTTAGGTAATCTGTGGTCTTTTTTCCATTTCATCCTCCTGTTCTGAAACCAGATCTTGATCTGCCTTTCCGAAAGACACAACGAGTGGGCTATTTCAATGCGCCTTCGCCTGGTCAGATATCTGTTATAGTGAAATTCTTTCTCCAGTTCCAAGACTTGCTGCCTTGTATAAGCAGTTCTGGATCTCTTGGGCTCACCCCCAGTGTAATTAGGGTTCACTGAGAAAGAAAGAAGAAAGAAGAGAATCAGGAGGACAGCCATGAAGGGGGAAAGGAGAAAGAAGACAAGAGGAGAGGGAAGAGAGCAGGAAGGTAAGGGAAGGCACACTGATTATCAGGGATTGAAAGATAGCACAATCCCTGAAGAAAGGCGATCTGCTAAAATGCCTTGTAAATTCCTCCAGTTCTTTCTGCTCTATTAGAAGGGGATCCCTTAGCTCCAAACAGGCTGAATTATTTATGCACCCCTTACAAAGCTATAGGACTTTTTCCCTCTCTCTCTCTCTCTCCCTCACACACACACATACTCAACATACAGAGCAGAATGAAGCACATGGCTGGAGCAGCCCAGACAGGCTTGGCTATAAAATTTATGGTGGGTGTAATTACCCATTCGTAGTCGTAAATCCAGTTCAATTGTGCTAACCCAAAGACTCTTTGAGCTTTAGAAAAAAAAGGACAAAAAAAAAAAAGAGAGAGGTTAAGGGAGAAGAAAAGTTTCCTACCAGTACTGACGTGTATTTTCTTCATCCAGGGGTACACTATAGGTTGTTTAGTGGCTGTGCTGGTAGGATGCTCAGGATTTGCCTGGTTGCAAGCTGGGGGTGCTGGGGATGGAGTGGCAGAGGTGGTAGTGTTGGTAGGAAGAGCTGGTGTTGGATGTTCACAAATCTGGGGTTTGCCTACAAGGTGGTTGCTTTGAGGTTGCCCATGAACCCTCGTGTGTGTGGATGGGTTTCCTGGACCCTGGATGCTGCTGGCACAGCTGTACTGGCGCTCTGTGTAGGCTGTTCTTGGAGGGTACAGTTCCTGGTGATGATGCTGAAATCCAGTGTCCCTGGACCGGCTATAAAATTCCGGACTGTGATCTGGTATATAGTTATTTTGCGAATATTCCTCACATGGAGGAAATTTCGGATCGATGTAGTTAGAGTCCATCAAATACGAACTCATGATCATTAATTTCTGGAGTGGAAAATAATTTTTCTCGCTTTGTCGTTTTTCTGCTCCATAAAGCCCTCCTACTAGCTGGCGACCCCGTAAAGTTACTTTCACCATGTGACTCCACTAGCCAATCACAACCTGCATCCTAGTCCCCGGATAAGGAACCAAAAGCTTATTTAAAATGTAATTTTCCCTTTCCATGTTTGTTGTTTTGTTTTGATTTTTTTCCTCAGGAGCTCTCACACACTGATGAAGCCCTACAGCTTTGTATGCGTTTTGTATGGGGATTACGAAAGGATTTACTGGCAAATACAGATAAAGGGAGATATAGAACTGAATGTGCACATTAAATGGATACTAGAGGTGGGTGGAGAATACTCACCTCCTCCCTCTGTAAGAAAGGCATACACACAGAAACATACACACACAGAATAATGCATAACCTCCAAACAGGGGACCTTTTGCCTTTTTTTCCCCATAAAATGGTGCAGACCCATTGATCCTGTGTACCTACCATATGGTCCACTTTGCGAATCCAGGGTGATCGCTTCCATTTCAGGAGATTCACAACCGATCCACATTCAGGGTCCCTACAATGACAAAGCGAAGAGTCAGAACCTGGTCAGAAAAATAGGAATGCCAGGACCTCTCTATACAGTGTATTATAGACACGTAGGTATGGGCTTCTACAGCATAGCCATGCACATGAGTGTGTGTATGTATATATGTACAGTATATATATATATATATATATATATATATATATATATATACACAGTGTATATATAGATAGATAGATAGATAGATAGATAGATAGATAGATAGATAGATAGATTGATTTACAATACCAGCCTTATGTAGGGAACCTGGAGTAAATAAAATCACTTATCTGTGCAAAACTGCCTTCTATTTTCGTATCTGTACCTCTGCAACAAGAAGGAAGAGGTTAATTCACAACATACAGCAATGGCATTAGAAAACATATGAGGGCTGGGGAGAATTACATTAGATCAATTTGGTTGTGTGTTCCCTGGTGAAGCTGGTTTTATATCACCATGTGGGTGTCTTTCTTATTTGGATGGATGCTGTGACTGTGCAGCCAGTTGACCAGCAAAGTTCATAGCGCCTTGTTCCCTGTATCCACACTCCTGGCAACAGCTAATGCCTCCTAAGCAGGATGGATAATGTCACTCAGTACCTAGTGCAATAACACGGCTGCTAAGGATGGAGGACCTGGTCTGCCAATGCAATTTTCATCGAGAATGGGGGCCCATCGTAGTTTTCTTCTTAAGTAGACAAAATGACTGGAGAGGGACTCCTGTTCTGTTTGCACGAAGCCTCTATTTCACACATCCTACTTCCAGCAGATAATATAGTGCTTAAAAAAAAACCCTGGGAATTTATGTAAACATTTCCAAGCAAACAGCTATTACAATTAGGTATTTTATCAAGAGCTTAGATTAGGCATTAAAAATGGGAGTGTAGATATCTGATTGCTCCCCTGTTCAGCTTGATAACAATTATAGCATAGAATCATAGCTTGTAGGGCAATGCCATATTTTACTTGATAACAATAAAAGTGACACATAAAGTTAGCTGTTTATGTTTTATTTATTAGACTAAATGTGCCAGCGGTGGTGCAGGCTTTAGGTTCGTTCTAACAGCTTTTATAGGGCAGTAAAAGGCTATAAATCAGCCAGGAGGATTGTACTGGTTGGGACTTGCTCTTTTGCGGTGGCTGTTCAGTCTTTATAGGAAATGTAATAATGTGTTATTTTATGATTATTTAATCTACACCTTTAATCCACTCCTCCCACCCCCTCCCTTCTGCTTCTCTCTCTCTCTCCCTCTTTTTCTACTACCCAAAAGAGGGGAAACTTAAGTCAACATTGTTCCTCTGTGCTAGTAACCACTTACAAGGACTCCTGAATAAAGTGGTGCAATAAACACCAGGGATTTCCCACTATTTATTCAAAGTGCGAACAAAAAAAAATTAAGTTGTGAGCAGAGGTTCGTAGCATCACCCATATACCCCCCTAGAGACGAATCTGTGACTGCTGTCTCCACACAAATTCGATTCTACAGGGTGCATATAAGCGCCTTCTTGGTATCTGCAACTTTTATGAGGGGCTGTTTAATGAATGTGAATTAAAAGTGCCATTATAAAGCCTCAATGGATATAACTTCATCCAGATGTGAAGCAGCATGCTGTTATTATGGTTCTCTGTTTCCTAACTACCCACTGGCTTGTGCTTATATAAACACTTGTAACTTTCAGGAGGTAATGTGGCTAGATTTACATCCATCTGCTGGGTTCCTGGATGTCACACCCGTAATCATGGCACATAGCTGGCGTTGTTTACGTGCTCGAGTTTCAGGCTCTGTCTTCTGGTGCCGATTTACTAAATGGCTACTTTCTACACAGCTAGGGACAACTTGTGTTCCCATCAAGGGGTCGATTTACTAAAGTGGTCATTTTGTTCACTGTTAAGTGTTCATCAGGTCTACAATTTAAATTTTGTAATATTCTGTCTGTGTATTTGATGGTAAAACAGACAAGGGTAAAAATTAATTCTTCAGTAAACCAGCCCCAAACATGCAGATAAGTGTAGGGACCTTTTTTGTAATGGGTGATTCAAAGGAGGCTGAATGCAATGGATCAGTGTAAAATTACCCTTTTAGTACATCGCCCCTATTACATCTACACACACTCGCAATAAAGGCTACATAGCTGAAATTCAAAGGAGGCTGAATGCAATGGATCAGTGTAAAATTACCCTTTTAGTACATCGCCCCTATTACATCTACACACACTCGCAATAAAGGCTACATAGCTGAAATTCAAAGGAGGCTGAATGCAATGGATCAGTGTAAAATTACCCTTTTAGTACATCGCCCCTATTACATCTACACACACTCGCAATAAAGGCTACACAGCTCTAAGTGAACAGAATAGAGGTATGTATAATTCAAATGTATTCATGTAATCGCAATACAGTGGGTTATAGAACTAAGCCTTATATCAGAATAACTATGGCTGTAATAAAACCCCCTAACAATATTCTGTTAATGTATTTGTTATTTATTCTATCACAAATAATATACTGAGATCTCACACAAATACAAGGCCTAACTGATTATTTTAGTTAAATAGTTTATTTGGAAAGCATGCTCTTACTAACCATAACCACTTTAACCCTACGACAATGTAACTTGGCAACTCCTTGCTTTTCCCCCTGTTACAATCAGTATGCTAGCATACTAATATATATGTTTATGCTGGTTCTTAGCTCAATCACAGGGCTTTCCTTGCTGTAACAAATATGGCCAGTTCTTGTCAAGCCATTTCTCTTTCTCCAAGCTGCTTTCATTAACTACTGAGCGTGCCTGGCTATGGGTAAGGTGCAGAAGTGGGAGCCACATCTTAATGCAGAAAGCAGCATTAAATAACACTGCTGAGCTTTGTATGAAGGAGAATCAGCCCAGCTGTGACGTGAACTGGGGATGTGGGGGCACATGGAGGAAATGACCCAATTTATTAATACACCAGGATAAAGGGAGTCTATTTATAAACAGTTTGGACTGAGTGGCAAAACTTACAAGTAAGATAAAAATAAATGTTTTCTCTCTCTCTCTCTCTCTCTCTCTCTCTCTCTCTCTCTCTCTCTCTCTCTCTCTCTCTCTCGCTCTCTGTGTGTGTTTTACTCTCTCAGTCTCTTTCGCTCCCTCTCTCTTTCTCTCTCCTAGATCTCTAGATCTCCAGCTCTGGTCCTCTGGCTTTTTGTTGAGGCATAAAAAGCCTGGAAAATTATGCGGCTGTGGAGTTGGTGAAACATTCTCAGCACAAAGCGTCTTTTTTGACAGTTCCGAAGAAAAATAACTGTCTATTGTCCCCAAGGGTTCATTGAAGGTGCTATTACCATACTGACCGTTTTGGTAACCTGCACCTCACGCAATTAGCAATCTGTGCATGTTAGAAAAATGGACTACAATCTACTCTTTCTGCTTGGCATAACAGCAAAACCCTGACGTCTGTCCCTCTAATAAGAAAACAGAGATTCTCTTATTTTGTTTCTTAGCAATGCCAAACGTCAGATGCAAAGATGCTCATCACTAATCATTCTAAGTCTGGGTATCAGAAGCATACGTATATTATGTGTTCTATAAAACTAATTGGTATAGACATTTTATTTTTAATTCATTTCTTTTTTGTTTTAATATGCTTTCAAATGGGAACTAAGCCCATCTCTACCAAATGTAATAAAGAGGACAGGTTGCTACACCCAGATTTGCAACCATTTGTCTTTTAGATCGTTTTATTTTTCTTTCTCTGAAGAAACAAAAAAAAAAGAGCAAATATTTATTCCCTCCTCCCTTGTAGGAGAAAAAAAAGGAAAGAAAAATTAAAAATGCATTTTGTGTTTGTAAGGAGAATGCAAAGATTATTCCACTCCCATAGTGGAATTCAATTTTCTTTAAATCTCGTTTAAAGTGGGCTCTTTTTTCCCCCTCAAAGTGCACGCATTTTAATACTGGTTAGACAGCGTGACCTGAATTTCACCTCTGTTGCTTGACTTCCACCAATAGGTCACTGCCACAGAATATTGATGGTAGAACTCAGTTGAAATCTGTCTCCGCACAAATGGCCTTTAGATCTTATAGCTAGTTCAATAACTAGTTATAATGTAGAAGGGAAAAATGGGAGCCAGAGGCAAAGTAATTTGATGTTTAATTTTTATGCTCAAGGAAAAAAAAAAAGTCGTGTTTTTTTTTCTGTCTTATTTTCTTAAAATAAAAAGAAGCTCTAAAAGCATATGTGGCTCGTATGTGGTTTGAATGTATACAGAAAATGTGTGTGTTGTTAGGTTTGTGGGGTGCACAATGGAGGCACAGTTCATCATGAACTCTGCAAGGCTTCATTTTCATTAGACTGAAACCCAGCTAGCCACTTGCTGTGACACCCTTCTCCTCTTCACATGCCACTTACATATAGATTATATGACACAACGAAGGTACGTATGTTAGAGGCAAATGAGGGCACTTTTTAATCTGACGTTAGAGTGTCAGGAAGGTAGAATTTTGCAGATACACTTGCAGGGGATCTTACACAAAAATTAGAAAAACAACAGCTGGCATCCATAGTCCTGTGAAAATGCAGATTATTTAAAAATATAAAAATAACATGGTATGCAATGTATTGTTGTAAAGGATGTTTCT